GGTCGACTATATACTAAAAAACATTTTATAAAATTTTTAAAAGCGACAATAATAGTGTGAACATAATGATTAAAATACATTAAAATTCATAGTAATATTTTTTAAACAATACATACAATGTTCGAAACTAAAAGGTTAACTGAACACGACGCTCTTTGACCTTAGCAAACTCATCTATGACAGAATCAACGCCGATTTTGTTGGCAAATTCCTTTTCAATAAAGATGGTCAAATGATTGGTAAGAAATTCATCTTTCATCTTGTTATGTTATGAATTTCATTCTTCACAAGTTTCATTGCAGAAAATGATCTTTCTGTTGTTGCAGTCGAAACGGGTAAAGTCAATACAAGATGAATTAATCTTGTAACCATTTTGAAGTGTTATGCCTTTCCAGATTTGACCAACTCTTCACTCAACTTCGCAAGAGAATGAACTTGGAACTGAGAATTTTGAACTATGTGAGGTTCATAAAAATGCAACTCACTCTTCAAAGCATGCCTCTCGTGAGCCTGAAAATCATCGGGATAAAACTCCAAAGCAAGCTTGTAGATATTATCAGCATTATATGATTCAAATGAATTTTTGGGATCCAAACCCACACTATGTCGGAGCAATTGAACTGATGATTCGTTGAATCTACATTCCAACTCTGTTAATTGAAAATCAATACTTTGGGTGAAAAATTCATAACGATAGTAATGCTCCATATCTACCTCTTTTCGACCACGTCTAAGCTTGCTCATCATGTGAGGCACATTAATTTCATGCTGCAAGCAAAAGTGTTTGACTTTCTCAAACAAGCTCTCACACCCTTCAATTCTCAACTTTTGAAGCAAATCTTTTGCGGTTTCAACAAAACCAATTGCAGATAAGATGTCAACATTATCTCTTTGTAATGCTTGACAAACAAAATCTGTTATACGCATTGTTGGAATAAATCCATGAATACTTTAATCTTCATATTGAAATTATCTAGAGAATTAACTGAGCGGAAGCGTACCTGACTCCATGGGAGATGGCCTTTAGAGATCCGGGAGACGAAGGCTAGGGTTTGTGTCTTCTAGTTGATACACACCCTCGGGAATTATCTCTCTAGCGATGGGATGCAGAAAGACGGAATGACGTGTTCAACTATGGACCATAACCCCTTATTTATAGAGAGTGCTTAACCCTAATCAGCCCATCATTGATTAGGTCAAGCCCATGGGTCTCTACACATTTAGGCCCTATACCTTATTAGACAACTTATTAGCCCACTTAAATTAATATCCATAGGACCACTAATTTTTGGGCCTAAATATAAGATAGCATACAACATACAATTAAACCCGATAAATAATATGTTGTGAATATTACATGTAGTATAAGTCCAATAATCTAACAATCTCCCACTTGGACGACATACACATGTATACACAATCCTTAGAATTGTATGTTTACTTTAGGAGCTCCAAAATTTTGCTATCAAACTGTAGTCATCTTTAATCAATCCGGTCCATTAATTATATCAACATAGGATCAAAGAAGTCTTTGCTATATTTGAATAACTAGACCCATCAATGATCACATATATTAATATAATAAACGACATGGATCAAGTATATGTGTGTAGCGTGGAAATAACATAAAGTGTGGTCTGGAATAGAATGTCTATTTCCAACTGGTCCACCTTGAGATCAATAATCTAACTGTAAGAGTACATAAAACTTTAAACTTTATTTCTGCAGAAAATAACCTTAAAAACTTGAATCAAGTCAATTAACCAAATATAGAAACATTACAAACTCCCACTAAAACTCATAATCCTCAACTGATTTGACACCCATTTGTGCAACATGCTCATGAAACACTTTGGGTGGTAATCCTTTAGTGAGAGGATCCGCAATCATGGAGTTTGTGCTAATGTGCTCTATAGATAACTTTCCTTCTTGTACTCGTTCCTTAACAACCTTAAATTTGACCCCAATGTGTTTTGCCTTGGTCAAACTACTGTTGTTCTTAGCATAGAGGACTGCTGATCTATTGTCACACAATAGCTTAAGTGGTCTTTCAATGCTGTCCACTATACGTAGTCCACTAACAAAATCTCACAACCATAATGCCTGATTGGATGCCTCATAACATGCTATAAACTCTGCTTCCATGGTGGAAGTAGCTGTAAGAGTCTGCTTGATACTCCTCCAGGAGATAGCTCCTCCAGCTAGAATATAGATGTAACATGAAGTGGATCTCAAGCTATCTTGACATCAAGCAAAATCAGAGTCGGTATACCCAATGATCTCAAGCTGATCCGATCTCCGATATGTGAGCATATATTCCTTTGTTCTCTGTAAATACCGCATGACCCTTTTGGCTGCTTTCTAATGGTCCATTCCCGGATTGCTCAAATATCTGCCTAACATCCCAACAATGTATGCCAAATCAGGTCTTGTACAAATCTGGGCATACATCAAACTTCCTACAGCCGAAGCATAAGGAATGTTCCTCATTTCTTTAGATTCAAAACCATTCTTAGGGCACTGCACGAGACTAAACTTGTCTCCCTTAGAAACTGGGGTATCTCCTGGGTTGCAGTCTTGCATACCAAACCTTTTGAGAACCTTATCGATATAGCTCTTTTGTGAGAGTCCAAGAACGCCTTTGGAGCGGTCTCGATGAATTTGAATTCCTAATACAAAAGAAGCCTCACCAAGATCTTTCATTTCAAAATTCTTTGAAAGAAATCTCTTAGTTTCGTGTAATAAGCCTATATCGTTAGTAGCAAACAGTATGTCATCAACATACAAGACCAGGAAAATATGCTTACTCCCACTGAACTTGTGGTATATACAATCATCACTGACATTTGGTTGAAAACCAAAAGATATAATGACTATGAAACTTGTGATACCACTGACGAGAAGCCTGTTTGAGTCCATAGATGGATTTCTTTAATTTGCAAACCATTTTCTTTGAATCTCCCGAAACAAAGTTTTCTGGTTGCTCCATATAGATTGATTCCTCAATGTCACCATTGAGAAATGCAGTTTTTACATCCATCTGATGAAGCTCAAGATCAAAATGTGCCACTAATGCCATTATTGTTCTAAAAGAGTCTTTTGAGGATACCAGAGAGAAAGTCTCTTTATAGTCAATTTCTTTCTTTTGAGTGTATCCTTTAGCAAAAAGACGAGCTTTAAACCTTGTAACATTGCCCTTTGAATCCCTCTTGATTTTAAATATCCATTTACAACCAATGAGTTTAATACCTTCAGGCAATGAGACTAACTCCCAAACGTCATTGTCACTCATAGACTTCATCTCATCTTTCATGGCATTAATCCATTCTTGAGAGTTGGAACTTTCCATGGCTTGACGGAAGTTGATTTGATCATCTTCCGCAAAACCAACATCCGATTCTTGTTCTTGGTGGAAGACAATTATTTCTTCCACCAATTCCAAATTTTCCTCATGTTCTTGGAGAAATACAATATAATCATCCGGAATTGCGCTTCTCCTCTCTCAAGTGGATCTCCTTAATGGCACCTCAGGTTCTTGAGGTTGTTGAGTTTGATCCTCATTAATAAATTCAGGTACTTGATTGAGGATGTTTTCGAGATTGTCATGAACTGGAGTTGTTTCTTGAACATCATTAGGAATAAACATATCTTGATCATGTTCAATGACAACTGAAGGAAGAGTAACATGTTCTTCCTCAAAGACAAAATCTCTAACCTTATCTCCCCACCCCCCAAACTCAATATCCTCAAAGAACCGGTCATTACCCGTCTCAAAAATAGTCCTGGTAGTGGGATCATAAAATTTATACCCCCTTGACCTCTCAGAGTATCCTACAAAATAGCTACTAACTATTCTTGAGTCCAGTTTCTTTTCATTTGGCCTATAAGGCCTTGCCTCAGCTGGACAACCCTAAACATGGAAATGATTTATACTGGGTTTCTTTCCAGTCCAAATTTCATAAGGGGTTTTAGTTGTAGCTTTAGTGGGAACTCTGTTAAGTATGTAAGCTGCAGTTTTCAGTGCCTCTCCCCAAAGGGAATCTGGTAAAGTAGTATGACAAATCATACTCCTAACCATGTCCTTCAATGTACGGTTTCGTCTCTCAGCAACACCATTCATGCTAGGAGTTCCTGGCATGGTGTATTGAGGAACAATTCCACACTCCTCTAGGAATTTAGCAAAGGGCCCTGGACGTTGTTCACCGGAACCATCATATCTACCATAGTATTCACCACCACGGTCAGATCTAACGGTTTTTTTTCTTTTGCCTAATTGGTTTTCAACTTCGGCCTTATAAGATTTGAAGACGTCTATTGATTTGGACTTTTCATGAATGAGATAAAGGTAACCATAACGAGAGTAATCATCTATGAATGTGATGAAATATGTTTGGCCATTTCTACATGGTGTAGGGAATGGTCCACAAATGTCTGTATATATCAATTCCAATAGATCTGAAGCTCTCTCGGCACCTAATCTCCGTTTGTTCGTTTGTTTTCCCTTAACGCACTCAACACAAATATCAGAATTTGAGGAGTCAAGAGAATCAAGAATTCCATCTGACACAAGTCTCTGAATTCTTTCTTTAGAAATATGTCCTAGACGCTTGTGCCAAAGTGAAAACGAATTCTCATTGGTTAATTTTTTTGTAGTACCACGAGTACGTACATGCAAGGTTTCCTTATATGAGGTATTTATATCAAGTGAATATAGATTATCATAAACTGATAAAAGACCAGTACCAATAAGTTTTGAATCTTGAAATAGACTGAACTGACTATTTCCAAATGAACAAGAATAACCAAATTTGTCCAATGCAGAAATAGAAATTAAATTCCGCCTAAATGACGGCACAACAAATGTCTCTTTCAAATCCAAATAAAAACCAGTCTTTAATAATAATCTAAAAACACCGATAGCCTCAACTTCAACCCGCTTGCCATCACCGACATAGATGTATCTTTCACCATCAATTGGTTTTCGGCAGCTCAGGCAACCCTGCATAGATACACTTATGTGAGTAGTAGCACAGGAATCTACCCACCAAGTGTCTTTTGGTACCGAAATTAAATTAACCTCAGAACAAACAAGAGCAAGAGACATACCCTTTTTCGCACGCCAAGCATGGTACTTAGTGCAGTTCTTTTTCTTGTGATTAGTCCCTTTGCAAAAGAAGCATCCAGATTCCTTAGTTTCTTCCTTAGTTTCCTTGTGATGCTTCCTGGGAGGCCCCGAATTTGCAGCTTCCTTAATTTTTCTTTTATTGCTGCCCTTAGAGGTAGATGCCAAATGAGCACTTTCTGTCTTATCTTGCTTTATTCTCTATTCCTCTTGAACACAATGAGAAATGAGCTCATTGAGAGACCATTTCTCCTTAATGCAGTTGGAACTGACTTTAAATTGATTAAATTGAGAAGGAAGAGAGATCAAAACTAAATACACAAGCAATTCCTCAGGTAAAATAAGCTTTAGTGCACTTAGTTTTGAAGCAATGTGAGACATTTCCAAAATGTACTCCCTTATGTTCCCTTTGCCTTTATACTTCATGGAAACAAGAGTGCTCAAAAGAGTACTAGTTTCCGCCTTTTCGTTTTTAGCAAAACGCTTTTCAAGTTCGGCAAGGAACGATTTGGCATCAGCCTCATCAGACATTGTGCCCCTGAATGATTCTGGAATTGCACGTTTCATGATCATTAGACTAATGCGATTTGAGCGTTCCCACCTCTCCATCTCCCTCTTTTCATCAAGGGTAGATGTGTCCTTAAGAGCGGCGGGTTTCTCAGTCCGAAGTGCAAGGTCTAGATCCATGCAACCGAGAACAATCATAACGTTCTCTTTCCATTCCTTAAAATTCGTGCCGTTAAGCACTGGGATGCTATTAATATTAGCAGATATTGTAGCAGCAGAATTGTTGACTGAAAGAGAACAAAAATAATATAAATGATATGCTCTAGGAACTGAAATTATTTTGATAATTAATTTTTAAATTTAAATATTAGCAATCCCCATCACAGGGAAAACTTCATAATCATCACAAATTTTGATAATAAAATCATGTCGAATATTAAGCCTTTCTTTGGACCGACTTAATACTCACACGAAAAACTTCATAATCATCACAAATTTTATTATCACAAATGTACTTAAATTTCGGCCAAATAATAACCTTCCTTTGGGCCGATTATTATCCGCATGAAATAAGAAAGTACACAATCATCTTAATATATGAGTTAATTAATTTCAACAAGAGAGGCTACTTTGGCAGCATGTTGTATCAATTAACTAACTCAAATATTAGACATGCTAGTACTAACTCGAAAATCTGAAAAATAAAATTGGGCAAATATTTCTGAATCACATGCAAATGTATTACGTATAACGATAATTTGTAAAACTCGTACCCAATCACTATGCGATCACAAAATAGGGTTTATACATCCCAAAACACACAATACATATTTTTTTAACCCATAAATCATGATCACCAACAAAAGTAATTTATTTCCAAATATGCAATTCTAATAGAACTGATATTGGCCGAAATTATATATAAGTATTTAATTACCAAAACCATAAAACATTTCCAAAATTGAATCACCGAATAAGGAAACATATCAAAGTTCAATTTGATACACATATAATTCCTTAGACTGAAAATCTTGGTTCCGAACTAAGAATAAAATCACATACGATAATTCCTTAAACAATAAAGGAATTCAAAACGCGATTCAATATGAATCATCTCGACCACATGCAGCAATACATTAAAAAATACTTCGTATTAAGTGATTTAGTATCACCACTTCCTGATGTTTCAAACCAAGAGAATTAAAGATTATTCCTTATTAACCTTTGAATCGATCTTCAAGAAATCAATCGAATGATTGACTTAACAAATAATTAAATATAAATAAAGAAAGAAAAGAACGCAAGAGTGCGTCACTTCAAAATTTTGCAACATCGACCAAAAGAGAAAAGAATTGCCAACTACAATTTAGTTCCGCACATCAAGGTTTAAAACACAAAATACAAAGTCTGGATCATCCCAAATTCCCAATGGATTCAATCGCTAAAAACGAAATCCCAATTAAAACACATAAATAAAATAGCATCGCAAATAAAACTGATTCGGCAGTTTAGTAGCCCAAAAATCCAATCATGAATCACGACAGAAAAATAAAATACGGAACATCTCGTTCAAACCTAGTGATTCCGATTGTTCATCAAATATCGATTGAACCGGAACGAATTGCATAAGTGCAAAATCGCATTACCCTAATTTCAATGAATCAGTAGGTTAAACTGACTCCAAATAATTCAATATGAAGGAGGCTCTGATACCAATTGTTGGAATAAATCCATTAATACTTTAATCTTCATATTGAAATTATCTAGAGAATTAACTGAGCGGAAGCGTACCTGACTCCATGGGAGATGACCTTTAGAGATCCGGGAGACGGAGGCTAGAGTTTGTGTCTTCTAGTTGATACACACCCTCGGGAATTATCTCTCTAGCGATGGGATGCAGAAAGACGGAATGATGTGTTCAACTAGGGACCATAACCCCTTATTTATAGAGAGTGCTTAACCCTAATCAGCCCATCATTGATTAGGTCAAGCCCATAGGTCTCTACACATTTGGGCCCTATACCTTATTAGACAACTTATTAGCCCACTTAAATTAATATCCATAGGACCACTAATTTTTGGGCCTAAATATAAGATAGCATACAACATACAATTAAACCCGATAAATAATATATCGTGAATATTACATGTAGTATAAGTCCAATAATCTAACACGCATAACTGCTTCCATTAAATGCAAACCAAACACAAAATCAAAGCTTTTAACACTAGTGCAAGCACCATCAGCTTCAGTTCGAGCTTTGGGATTTCGACCATCACATGCAATACTAATAAGAACTCTACATGTTGCATTAAACGTTTCTATCATACTCAAGATAGAATCATAATGAGAGCCCCACCGAGTAGTACCTGATCTTTGCAAGGATGACATTTTATTTTTTCCTCGACCTGAATCTCGCTCCCCACGAGCTAACATACCAATGACTTCCAATCTATGTGCCTCTTGTAATTCTATGTTTCACTTTGGTGAAGATTTTACAATGTTGATAACTTTATCCAACATTGAAAAAAATTTCCAAACTGGGTCACATTGTTTAGCTGAGGAAACTAGAGTCAAGTGCAACCTATGCGCAAAGCAATGCACATAATATGCATATGGACAATCATTCAAAAATAATGCTTGTAATCCATTCCACTGTCCACGCATATTACATGCACCATCATATGCCCGACCTCGTAACTTGTGAACCTGAAGATTATACTCAGAAAGAACCGCACTTATTTCATGCTTAAGTGTTTCAGAAGAAGTGTTAGAAACACCTTTAATAACAAAGAAACGTTCTGTCACAATACCTTCAATGTTCACAAATCTAAGAATAATAGCCATCTGTTCTCTATCAGATTCATCTTTGCACTCATCCACAAGTATAGAAAAATACCCGTCTCTAATTTCCTCACGAATCATACGACGAACACGATTAGCTAAAAGAGCTAAAAGTTCCTTTTGAATATCCGAGGAGGTATACTTGGCATTCTGTGGAGCATTACTCAACACAATATCATTCACTTCAGTATTCCATTCTCCGGTATATTTAATCAATTCAATAACATTTCCACGATTGAGAGATGTTTCAGACTCATCATGACCCCTAAATGCACAACCTTGTAAAGCTAACCACAAAATACTTTTAATGGTTGTTCTTACGCGCAAACGATTTTTCACCACTTTTTCTTTACCGATCCTAGCAATGACTTTGTCAATATGTTGACTTGGTTTCATTAAGAAGTCAGCAGAAGCCACACTCTGATTATGAGGTGATGAAGGGGATGAACCAACATGCATAAGAAACACACATCCTTTACCCCGATGAACTCGTTTTCAACTATCAAAACCAGTACTCACTAAAGCCGAAACACGAGAGGAATTCACAATATCACTGAAGAGAAAGCATGGAAAACAATATGCCTTATGTGTTGTTAGAGAGTATTCCAACCAATTAAATTCATTGAACCGATTGGCTTGAAAACGACACATCCTATCTTTGTAAACTCGGCCTTTGTAAAAGTTCAATTTCGGTTGATAAGTTCCAAGCATCAAATAAAATCGTCTAATTTCATCTCTTTTCTCTAATGGCTAATCACTTATCTTTTTACGCTTTCCCGGATCCCGCTCAATTTCAAGTGCATCAGAAATTACTTCCTCTTGAACGGATGAGATATTATGAGTTTCAATTGAGACATTTAACTCTTGTCTACTTTGTGTGCTTGTACTAGGCTTATAAAACGAACGCAATGTGATTTTTACCTTTTGGGAAGTAGATTGAGTAGCCATACCTACTAAAATTAACAAAAAAATAAAATACTAATCAATACTTTATTTGAATTCATATAATTAAAAAAAATTGTCATTCCTAAATCTTAATTTTCTAGTAGTATTTCACAATTCAAAGCACATAAATGAATTGACACATGGATTTACTAACACAAACTACAATAACAAATAAAATACTTAAATTAAACTGAAAATTGTAAAAATAAAAAATTGAAACCCCTAATTACCTCAACTTGCGATGCGAGAGGCGGAGGTGTGGCCGCGCGGGCGAGCGGCGGAGGTTCTTCGCAGGCTGTTTTCTCCTCTGCGGCCCTGCCTTTGGTTTTCTCTTCGCAGGTTCTTTCGGCGTTGTTTTCTCCTCTGCGGCCCCGGCTTCTTTCAGCGTTGGTTTATTTCAGTGCTTGGTTTAATTCGCAGGTTAATGTGTACTGGGCCATATATTGGGTCAGTATTATTTTTGCACTGGGCCAGATCTAAAAAAATTTGAAAAATCATATATAAAACAAAAAAAATGCCCTGGGCCATGGCCCAGCCAGGCCACCCCCTCCCTCCGCCCCTAGGTGCACCGGAACTAATTAAAAGATCATTCATCATCTCTTTTAGTGTCCTATTTTTTCTTTCAGCTATTCCATTAGATTCGGGTGAATATGGCAGAGTGACCTCATGAATTGTCCATTCTTTTTCACAAAATTCATTAAATAAAATATATTCACCCCCTCTATCCGATCTAACTCTCTTAATCTTTTTATTTAATTGATTTTCTACCTCGGATTTATACACTATAAATTATCAAAAGCCTCATCTTTATTTTTAAGCAGATAAACTTTAGTGTATCTAGAAAAATCATCTATAAATGTGACATAATATTTTTTGCCACCTCTGGTGATGGTAGTTTTTAAATCACCTAAATCCGTGTGAATTAAACTAAGCAGTTCCGATTCCCTATACGTGGAGGGACAAGATTTTTTGGTTTGTTTAGATTGAACACAAACATAACATTTTTATAGTGTCATTTTATGTTTACTAGAAATCAAACCACAATCACTCAACATTTTAATATAAGAATTACTTGCATGTCCTAGTCTAGCATGTCACACATTGTAGGAATCAATTAAATAAACAGAAGCATTATCATGCAATATTTCAGAAATACTAAGCACATAAAGTCCATTCTTACAATAGTCATTTCCCACAAGAACGTCATTTTTGGTCATAACAAAATTGTCACAACCAAAAGAAACTTTAACCCTAACTTTTCCCAAGAGAAAAATGGAAACCAAATTAGTCCGAATCTCGGGCACATGAAGCATATCATTTGGTGATAAAGTTTTCCCTATTGTGAGCTTCAGAAGAACTTTCCCTTTTCCATGCACCTTAACGGTTTTAGAGTCTGCTAGGTACACGAGCTCTTCACCATCTCCTATAATAGCATATGAGGTGTTGGGATATTGGGCCGCAGGCCCAATACCCGGATCCAAGGCCCAAGATATCCAGTCCGATAGACGGGCCCATAATCCAGAAGATGAACGTGTCATGGAAAAATATGTACCGAACGAGGTTCGGGTCAATTAATGTACTTGGGCCAGATCAATAATGGGCCAAATCAATAATGGGCCAGATCAATGATGACTCCTGATCAATGTACCGAATGAGGTTCGGCCAGATCAATGATGATTCCAGCAGGGTCCACTACCCGTTCCGGCAGCGGGTAGCCAACAAGTGGCAAGGAGCATTTATCGCTAAAGTATGACGACAGCTAGTGGGAGTATGAGTTTCCAAGTGGCTGGATAAAGCAACCAATCAACATGAAGTACCCCATACTCCCCATTAGTATAAATAGAAGGATTAGTTTCATTGTAAAGGGTTAGCTTCTTGATATTCAATGCCTAGAATAGATTTATCTCTCTGATTTCTTGTATTAGTCACTATTCCGACATACCGTTCGAGTAGTTTACTGTGTAATCGTCAAATTACTTAGTACAATTGGGCTTTTGAGTATTTGATTATTCATCTTTTATATTTCCTTTATACACTTGATTCTTGATCCATTTCCTGATATATCCAAAGTTTGTGTTGGACTTTCGGATCTGCGGGATTAAACCTCAACATTGGCACCGTCTGTGGGAAACTCTGAACAAAAAGTTTCACACCAAACAACAAACTATTCCCAAAATGGTTAGAATCACTTCTCATCACACCGGAGAAACTTCGAGAAGACGCGGGGAAAACCGGACCCCCCAAGGACAATCCAGCTGGGGATCCTACCCGCACTTTGATGGGGATTTTTTCATCCCCGAAGCATTAAGAAGGAACCCCCATGCCATGCGAGATTTGGCTCAGGTCATGCAACAAATGGCGGATGAGCAGGATGGGGGACGATCCGGCTATACGGGGGAAACTTGGTATACGACCCCGTCTACGATGCAGTCATTCGATGATGATACAAAAACAACCATGGCATCGAATCATTCACGAGTCCACCGGGGAGAGCGCAGAAGGACTCATGCGTCTGGGGGCAGGCATCACACTCCTAGTGACTATACCCCGACCGGGTCACGGGCCAGAGGAGATACGGCCGTTGGTCGCCATTTCCAATTTGGAGAACGTAATAATACTCAATTCGGGCAAAGACGTCAGAATCAGAGAACAACTCCGCCGGAAGGAAATCGGGAGTTTGTCAACCTAGGAACTCCACCACCACCTCCCCTAACGGCCCAGGAGGAAGAAATGGCCGAAATGAGGAGGCAGATGAACGAAATGAGGGAACAAATGAACATAACACCTCTACAACCTACTCCAACGCGGGTCAAGATCACTTCCCCCTTCACCCGGGAAATAATGCAAGCTGAGATCCACAGAGATGCCAAACCGCCGACCGGTAAGATATATGATGGGGCGGGAGATCCCCACGGACATTTAAGGAGTTACCAAGGGGGGCTCATGCTATTGGGAGCATCGGAGGCGGCCATTTGTCGACTTTTCTTCAGCACACTCAGGGGACCTGCCCAGGAATGGTTCGGGACCCTGCAACCCAGATCGATCGGCAGCTTTACCGAATTATCATCCTTATTCCTGGCCCAGTTTG